ACCTAAGTAAAAGAGCCAACTGTGTACTCCCTAAACCCAAAACCCAAAACCCAAAACCCCAAACCCAAATCCGGCCTCCAACTGCAAAATGTAGTACCACTTGTCCCTAGCCCTAGGAGACCGGTACCTATTTGTAGTACGTTAGTAGTCATTGAACCAAATGTAAACCTTATACCTGGGCTCTAAAGAACCTACCTTTGCAACCACATTATAATCAGGGAATCAGAAAACGGAACCGGCTATTCAAGGTATAGTCTAGGTATGGTTCTCACCCATGACCCAGTAACCCTCTGCGCACTCGAGGGGTGTAGTCAGATTTCGTGCTCAGGATGCTGTTGCAGTCTCTATCTAAGGCCCAAAACTCTGAACTAAGAAATCCGAAACCGCAAGCCATCTGAAATTTAATTTAAGCATATTCTCACATACTACAGAGAGTTACGCTATCTTGTCATATTGGAAAGTACTTCTTCATAACTATATATAGTCTCCATTGTAATTCTGTTTCGGGATACCTTATAGAATCCTTTATCTATAATTGGTTCAACCAAGAAGAGGAACTACAATGGAGACTATAGGTACCATGGTACTGACGCAACCTCGGGTTCGGGAAGGTTGACTCCGCCGGCACGACGCTTTGGGCTGCTTGCGTGATTAGGGCTTGTTTGGGGCTTCAGGGATTTAGGGGTTTAGGGTTTAGGGCTTAGGGGTTTAGGTTTAAGGGGCTCGTTCCTCCAAATATCTAGAGTTATGCTGCGCACATGCACTCGAAAGTCTGGAATTTCAAGGCATCGAGTCAATAGATCCCCAAACTCTAACGTTAATCCCAGAAAGTTGGAGCATGGACTTATGGTGCCCTATACTTTACCCTAAGGGCATGAAGACACACTCCGATGCAGCGGAGGGTGGAAGGTCAAAAGCTTCCTTGGCTTTAGGTGGCCCCAAACCCTAAGACCCCCAACCCCAGACCCTAAAGCCCTAAAGACGAAAACCCTTAGACTAAAAACCTACACCCCCAAGCCCAAAACCCCTAAACCCTCACGCTGCTAAGCCCCGGAGCCTGCTTGGAGGGTCGGGAGACTTAGTAAGTAGGTAATAAGTAGACTTATAAGTACCCTAAAAGGGGCCCTAATTGGGGTTATAGTACTTATAAGTCTATAAAATAACCGTTTACTTAGTCCCCCCGACCCTCCAAGTAAAAGCCTTGGCCGAGTGGCAGGATCCGGAAGAAGTGGTTGTAGCGTTCCAGGCACCGCTGTGTAAAGACGAGTGGCAATGGCCAAACGGCTTCGTACGTCCTGGGTGAGGGGGCTTAGGGTTCTGGGGTTCAGGGTTGAGGGCTTTGGGTTTAGGGGTGTAGGTTGGGGTTTAGAGCTTAGAGCCCAGGAAATGGAAGGGTTGAGACCTAGCCGAAAACCTTTTATATACCCGTAATCCGAAACCCTGTACACGTATAGTATCACAAGGCAGACGGCAAAAACATGCGCATGCAATTTCGGCCCCCACTCAGACTCCATGTATAACTATCAAATATATAACTACTCACTAAAGGGGTCCTTTCTCTGTACCTATCACATACTAAAGGGGTCTTTTTTTTCGGTACTTTCAGGCCTGGGTATGTACGATATAAGTCCATGGGGACTTTGGGCCCGCCCTGACCTTCAGAACCGGGTTTTGAAATCTTAAACCCCTAAACCCTGAACCCGGAACCCGAAACCCTAAACCTTGGGGTTTCGGGTTTAGGGTTCAGGCCCAACCCTATGCGAAGAGCAGGGGTTTTTCGAGCAACTGAAGAGCCGACGATCCGGAATACCTGGACACTGGAGCTTATAAACCTTTAACCCCAAACGAGTTTGTGGTTTAGGGCTTCGGGTTTAGAGTTTGCGACCCAAAGGGTCCTAACTACTGTTATGGGGGGGATACATTCCCAAATCATCACAAGGATTCCGAATATAGAAATCGTGCATTCTACTCTAAGGGTACTTTGGATCCTTTGGGGTGATTAGGATCCTATCATAGAAGAAAAAAGATCCGAACATATGTTCATTCTAGAACCCTATACAGGGTGTGCATAGAACCCTGACAAAGAACCCTCAGACAGACCATCCAGCATTCAACATACCGAAACTGGCCCATTAGGGCTCGGTATTATTTATCAACATGTATATACATATATATATATATATACGAGTATTATGCTCTGCCCCGACAACCTCGTTCTGATCATTCGGGCGTATCCATTAAATCCTGAATAAACGTTAAACCCTAAACCCTAAACCCTAAAACCCTAAGCCCTAAACCCCAAACCCGATAACCCTAAACCCTAAAACCCTATTCTGCCGCGGCTCAGATGTAAGTTCACGAACCAGGGACTGCTAGCTGCCGCCAACTCCTCCAGCATCCTTGCAGATGGCTTTGGGGTTGAAGGGGTAGGGTTTAGGGTTTAGGGGTTTAGGGGTTTTGGGGTTTAGGGTTTAGGGGTTCAGGGGTTTAGGAGTTTAGGGGTTTAGGGCTTAGGAGTTTAGGAGTTTAGGGTTTAAGACTTAAGAGTTTAAGGTTTAGCAATGCCTTAAACTACCATCGCCTACTTGTTTGGGGGATGTAACTAGCTATAGTAGACCCTACTGTAGAGTGTAGCAGGACCCTACAAACTCTAGGGCTCGGTCAGGTAAGGTAGGGCGTGAAAAAGGGGCCTTAATCACTAGAATGGGGTTTTGGTGCCCACTATAGTATAACATAACTACAATAAGGAACCCCCAAAGTAGTGTAATTTAATTATCTGGGCCCCTATATTAGGCATGTAGGGGTTTTGGAGTTTAGGTAGAGGGCTTAAAGCTTCGGCGAAGGTCTGGGTTTAGGTTTTAGGGTTCAGGG